AGTTCGTTTAAAGAAAACCTCCTTGAATGAAATGTAAAAAAAAGTCTTTCCCCTTACTTTTGAAGGCTGTTTGTGTCACAGTGGTAGCTCTAATGCATTATCTCCTAATGGCCGCTTTCTGTTGGATGCTTGTCGAGGGAATCCATCCCTACCTGTTTGTTGTGAAAGTTTCCAACATCAAGACCAAGATGCACATGTATCACGTCATTTCATGGGGTATTTTGATTTTTCAGTTGAATTTATCATATACTGTTAGGGATTATTTTTTTATCTAACTGCATCTTGTATCTCTAAATTTTCATAAACGGTTTCCCAGTCATTATGATTACCATTTCACTGAGCATCGCTGCTGAAAATTATAGGATACAGAGGTTTACCAGCTATAATCATTTTTGTTAACTTTTTTTGTTCACTTTTTGAAGTTTGTTTTGCTTTACTTTGATTATATATCCTACCCTTCCTTATTACTTTCATTAATCTCCTTCTCACAATCTTCATCTTCTAAGGCCAGTCTGTGACCTACAGTTTCTTTCACTGAACGAATGTTACTTTTGGAGGCAAAGCTGATCGGGTATATTGTGAGACCTAATTTTTCTCTTTTTATTTTTGTTTTCCCCTTTTTTCCCTTTAGCTGTTGGATGTCGTCGACGTTAACTAACAATTTGATCTGGATATTTGTCGCATTTGTGATTATGATTGTAAGTTTCGCATTGGGATTAATTTTTTGACAGCTTCTGCCGGAGATTTTAACGAAATCGTATCAAATTTTAAATGATCCTCTAAACGATATTTGAAATTGATCTTATAACAATCCCATATCTTAGACTGTTGTCGTCCTTTAGACTTGGCATTAGAGCATGCGTGGTTATTATTCCCTTGCTGAGTGTCACGTGGTTATTTGGTCTTCTGACACCATTACACAAAGTTTTTAGGTACGTATTCTGTCCAATGATTTCATTGATGAAAGTACCCATACCCAGTGTCCAGAGATTAATAGACGGTCAGACTTTTCCAGTATGGTCAGATGATCTTTGCAACAATAACTATTAAAATATATAATAGGATAAACCTAAAAGTAAATAAAAAAAAATGAAAAAAAAAATTGCTTCCGCTTTTTTATGTCATCCTCGTAACTAAAAAACGTTATTTACTTCAATGACCTCTGAGCTCTGATTGGAAAATAAATTACGTAATCTGCAGAAGGTCAACGAATAAATAAATAAAGAAATAAATATATATATATATATATATATATATATATATATATTTATATATATATATAAAGATTGATCTTGAAAACCTGTCTTTCTTTTTGAAGGGTTTTTTAATTTTTGCCCTGCACTGTGCGCCAAACAGCCAGGTAAGTTTTATACGAAAAAAAAAAAGGTTGTGTAGAGTACGAGTTTTAAAATCTTGTATGAATATTTGAGTGCCCTTTCTATTTACTCTGCTTGTCTATCGGCAGATTAGAGAGCGATTCAAGAGAAAAGTTCGCACTGTTTTCGCATCTGCAACCGATGGAAACTCTACAAAGAAGAATTCAAATGTTAATCTGGTAATTTTGTGATGTGAACGCAGTTAAACTGAAGCTTTGTAACGAGTTTGAACTGAAAAAAAAAAAAAACGCACACCCTCAGCCTTAAAATAGACTGAGAATGAGAGTTAATTTTTTGTCGAGTGCCAGTTATTATTGAATTTTTCTTCAAGGAGTCTATTCTATGATAAGCCAGCTTTCCAGAGTCATCAGCCTTTAACATTGTCTGAGCTCTTACCTAGATGCAAAAAGCTTTTTCTGATAGGAATCAAGTAATTCTTCCCCATCGCATATGACAGTAACATGCAAACTTGTTCAGAAAAGAGGGTCAATTTACTACAGATAACCGATTTAGAGGCTGGTTAAATAGCATAACTTAGATGTATGGAGTCAATCCTTCAATAAAACCACGTTCGTTCTGTTTACGGCAATGCAACTTATTGGAAAACTAAAATCTATTTGCTAGTAAACTTTTTAAAATCATGTCGGTTCATTTGCGTTTTTATTTATCATTATAACGTATACCAAAATAAATAAAACCACGGTTTCTAATAAAATCAAGGCATATAGGTCATTCCAAAAGCCAAATTTTTTTTCTAATTGTGTCGGTTCATTTGCGTTTTTATTTGTCTAGATCTAGGCATATAGGTCATCCCCACAGATTTACCAATGAACCGTTGATGGTCCCATTTTTGTTTTTCGTTAGTAGCTGAAAGCTTTGTTTACGCGGGAATATGTAAACACGATTGAAAAGTTTTAGATTTGCACTTTTTTCTCAGAAATGGGTCAATCAAAGGAGAGGGTTGCCTGGAAGACTCTCCAAAATCCATGCGAACGGCGTGATGGGTTTTCATTCGCCTTTGCACTTGGCGAATGTTTGAAATAACGTGCGCTCAGACCGGTTGAAACAGCTTGCTTTATCATAAAACAGATACAAGGTGGTCAAATCGGAGCAGAAATTTTAATTTTAGGTTTGAATTTAAAAACTCCATCTTTTTTCCCAAATTTAAAGCTTGAATCGCATGCCTCAGAATAACGCAAATAAAACGAGTTACCTGTCTATGTCCATTGCATGCAGGTCATCATCAAGAGGTGAAAAAATATATATTCTCGGTGTTTCGAAGGTTTTGATAAAAGCGATCGTAATCATTACGAAGGCAAAATTGCACTTACATGCCAAAACACCTTAAGAACGTCGAAAGAGCTCTTCAAATTCACGATAAGGATATTTGTTTCACAAAATTGTTCAAACTGCACCTGCTTTATGTTAATTTTATATTTCTTTTCAGAATTTTTCTTATTTTTTCTTTTAGAAACCCTAGGGGTAGTCTGAAAGAGGTGGTTAATCGCGAAGACATGTATCATTAGCTGTTAGTTATGAACCCGTCACTTTTTGGAGGAAACAGCCAATCAGAAAACTCTTTTGAACTATCATGTGCGTTTTTAGACATAACAAACTACTACTGTCTACCATATTATGCGTGGCTCCACGAAGTATAGCATTAATACTTCGTTATTGCAAATGAGATAATGAAATATTAATGGAGGAAAGATTAAAAACCCACGTACCTAGAAGAGGAGAACATTAGCCCTCCAGTTTAAAGAGATTTTATCAAACAACAATTTTAACTACTATGCCCAATTTTTGATAGACGAAATAAAATTTTAGCGACTTCTATGATGTAAGTGCTCTAAAAAGACTTATTGTTTTCGTTTTTAAGCACCAAATAAGCAAAGAGTGGCATGGTCATTAATGATTTATAATTAACATGAATACTCACATGAATTTAACATCTTTAGCTAAAGGCTACATCCTTTAGAAACAAGATCATTGCACTTCGCGTGCTATTCTACGAAGAGAATTCTAAAAAGTTTCTTAAATGATTATTTTGTATTAATCATATTTGTTTTACCAAAATTTCAAACGGAAGAAAAAAGGGGAAATATCACTGAATTTAAGTAGAAAGATGTGACATCAATGATTTGCATGATATTCAATTTCCCGCATATGCTTATAATAGGCAGCTGGTTCTGGCTCAAAACAACACTATAAGACTGATCTTCCAAATATTTCTTAAGAGAGAATTCTCACAAGCCTTCCATACTAAGAAAGAAAATATCAACCAATCCTCAGCCACAGAAAATTTGCCTAAGGCTGTGTTTAGTTCAGCTGACAGATGCTCAAACCACACAATAAAAAAAGAAATGATGACGAATAGAAGTTGCCGGATATGGAGAACACTCCTGTTATCAATTGCTCTTCTACGTGAGTATCAACGTTATTTTCAAAAGAAAAGTTCTTTTCTTTAATATTTATTACAAGTTTACCCAGAGGAGTCGATTCTATGGCTCTCCGAACAGTGTTGGGTGAAACCACAGCGCTAGAATGGTTTTCCAAAAGTTTGTCCCTTATCACAGCTGATCAAACCAACATCCACGAAGAAGCCAAGACAAATTATTTTTAGGAAAATACTTCGAGAAACTAATTTTCTCAATGCATTCCTGTGCAACAAGTTTTAACTCTAATTTAACTCAGGGGTCTATCATAAAAATGGATAATTTTTTGCCCAAATATGCAAATGATGATGTGTACTTTAAGCCCGTTAATTCACTTTGAGGATATGCGAATTCTCGAATGTCAAAATATATGGTCAGGTGTCTCTTCAACTCTAACAAATTACTGAGGTTACTAGCTTAATAACACCATTTCAAGTCTTCTTGTAAAAGAGAACAGCAGTTTACTTCGTTTCCTTTTCAATTTCCATATTAATCTTCCGAATATTTGTTATTTCTAATTCATTTTCATCTTGCATTTAGTTGAATAAAAGAAGCGCCGTTGAGCGGAAATGTTCTAACTCAGAAATAACATCATTCTATCAATTCAAAGGCTTCACAGCGTAGTTATTGAAACACGGCATCACTCACTCAAGGGCAACCTGCAAAATGGCCCGAAGGAACTCCCTACCCTATCAAAATGAAAATAATAATAATAATAATAATAATAATAATAATAAGTGGATAAATAATTTTTTTCATTTGCGAATTGGTCAGTGACGTCTAGTAGCTTCACGGTGGCTAATACTTGTTGCAAATAGGAGTTTAATTTTTATAAATGCTTTATATTTATTCGCACCATACTGAGATGGTAAATATATAATGAAGGTTCTACGCTAGATTTATTCAACAATTTCATGAATCTGTTTTTTTTTCTTTTTTTGTCTGGCGGGGGAAGGGGGGAAGGGTGCTTAGTGAACTATTGTTTATTATATATTACATAATAATTATAATTATCTAAATTTATCATAAGCAATATTTTTTTTCAGGCTTTTGGGTGCAGAGTGAGACATGCAACCACAATGTGTATAGCGTCTATAACGATTTTTCTTGCCAACTGCTCCAGCACAACGCTTATTCTTGTAGTTGCCTTGAGACAGGATGCAAACAAACGTGCACACTTTGGTGTGAAATGGTTCTGAAATTAAACGGAGGAGAGTGTGAACAATTTTGCGACGCTGAAACATGTACACTGAACTTCATGGGGGTACAATGCCAGAAACAGCATCAGAACGCTATTTATTGTACAGGTCGGGTTAAATGCTCTGGGAATGGTCAATGTTGGGAGGTCTCATGTCGTCTGTCACATTTAAATGCACAAAATGTCTGGTGCAGCTCTTCCAATTCATACAGGTCGAATTTCATTTCGTCTGCTCCGTCAACGGCAAGTCAAGGTTTAGCGACTCAAATCTCAACGGTGCAGCGGAAAGATAATTCTCATACTTGGTGTGAGTAAACTTAACAAAGTAAATCTGTTTTTTCACGATTGAATGTTAATGAATCTTGAGATAGAATAGCTCTTTCTTCATTGTTCATATTCTAGATTCCTTGCGCTTTATCATTGCTTTTCAATTTTAGTTAAATGTTGTTTTGACATCTAGCTTTTACTTTAACATACAGATCAGTTGCAGTCATCGTCGGCATCACCATTATCGTTACTTTCACCATCACCATTACCATCCTCTTCAATATCGTCATCTTCATCTGAAGCAGAAGCATCAGCAACAGCAGAATCGGAATCAGTATCAACAAAATCATCAGCATCTTCATCATCACCAGCAGCAGCATCGTCGTCTCCACCATCGTCAACTTGGAAATCTACGTTGGAAGTACTTAAGAATCTGGTATGTTTCGTAATTTCTCCTTTTTTTTTTATAGTTTCTGCCATTCCTCAACGCTTTTGTCTTTCTTTACCTCAGGCAAATGGATCTGTTTCTAAACTTAGTGGAATAGATAGCAAGAGAAATAATTCTTTGAAGGTATGAATGCACTATTGTCTCCTAATAACAAGATGAACATTACTTGTAGATATGAAATATGCGGTAATTAGAAGGAGTTACCGATGCAAAGCTGCAGTTCGTAAGCTGCAAAAGCGTTTTATACAGAGGCAAAAGCATGACAATACTGTGTGCTACGAGAATTTAATGTAGGAAAATATACCTCTTCTAAATAGGTGTGGCTAATTCATTGAAATGATGTTCTGTTGAAACGCTTCTTTTTCAAATCATGCAATATCCAATCAGTCCAAGTCCTATGATGTGCACTTTTGTTTTCTCATTATGATGACGTTCGACATGATTAAAGAACTTTTTGGTCCTTAAAGGAGGCTATGCAAGTATTTGAAGACTTCATCGATAATTTTCTAAACATCACGACACCCAATAAAGGCCAACTTAATGATTTGTCTGTTCCTCGTTTGGGTTGATAACCACTCTGCTTCGCCGTTCCTCTTCAGAAAGCTCTGAGTTCATTTCGCAGCTGAGAGATTTGCTGAACTCAGTATATCTCAGTAAAATGTCTATCGACGAAGAAAATGAAGGCCAAGCAAACAAAGAACGACCACGTGCTTCACGATGCTTGGAAATGCCAACGACACCAACGAACAAGACATCATCTGTGGCCATGACACCCCCAAACAGTGGAAACTCGCAAAGAGCTGAAAAAAAGAATGTTTCCCCAAATCTAAAGGAGATCAGCGAAAAGGAAGATTTGGATACTCCAGAAAAGGTGCTGTTGATGAAGCAGCGAAGCAGTCGCGTCATCAAGGACATGCATAACGTGTGCGAAAGAAACAGGGAAAGTTTGACGATGGTGCTTTCGAACATGTGCGCATTTGGCGACCCAGAAGCGAAGGCCATCGTCAATGAAATTGTCGAAGAGATGGCTGTAAAAATGGGAGTAAAGAGGAGTGTGGAAGAGCTAGTTGGCGACGACACAATGTCGAAGTACGTGGCGTGCCTGAGAGTTCCTGATTGGAAGCTTGTCCTTTTCCAGGCGATGGCGAGAGTTTCTTCGAAAACGTGGCAATCCGTGATAAACATCACAGGGCTCAGAAGGACGGGGGTAAGATGTTTAGTTACGTTGGTCTTACGTCGGTATATTAATATTCATACTTGGCGCCCCGGCTAAGGGAATAAAAGAACAAAAAAAGAACTATTCCATCGCGAGCCTCAATGTTTATAGCAGCTCTTTCTTTTGTTTTATTCAGTTATTCTCGTAAGCGAAGCCTTGTACAGGAAAAGATAAGCAGGCTTTTTTTTATTACTTAAGCGGGCGTTTTACTCAACTGCGTCTTCAAAATTACCCTAGGTCTGTTTTCCAGAGCAATTTCAGCCAGTGGTAAGCTCTTTTTCAGCTGGTGAAATATGCTGGAAGCCGTATGATGATCATCCACATATTTTTTTTTTGTGTGTGTGTGTGTTGTACTTCCAAATCAAAATAACTATAACTGTTAAAATTTTTTGGCCTTGCAAGCAGTTCTTTGTATGGAAGGTGGTCATTATAATAATGTGTAAGGTGAAATGGGTTGGTGAAGGGTGCAGTTTTTGTCTTGACTAATTTAGTGTAAAAAATTGTTTTGCAGGTAGAGCTCATATGTTGTTTGGAATTGTTCCCTGTGATGGTGCTGTATATAGCCAGCAAAGTGCAAAATCAGTCTACACATTGACAATTGCCAACTGTAAAGAAGACAGGTTTGTGAATTGCAACTTGGTTGAACTCTTTACTACCTTCTGGCTAGAATATGCTTGTGGTTGTATGTGCATTTAACTTAAATAACACAATAACAGATTTTTGTAAGCCCCACTCAGTTGCAATATCACCAGGTCATGCATCGACTCTGAGATCTAAGTGGATTGATATCAATATCCCTAATTCCTTTATTGTGTTTCTACCCAGTTGGTAGTCTGACTAGAACTAGATTGAAGCAGTAGTCAAACTATAGTAAATTAAGAGTTTTTTATATTGTAAAACATGTTCAAGGTTTAACTGCAGCAGCAAGAAATAAAACCTGGAATTTATTATTATTTTACGTCAGAAATTGATTTGACCACCCTTTTCTTTAGATACATTAGAGATTAATTTCCTGGAAAGTTTAGCATGTTAACTTTTGCTTTCCCATTTCTGTTATCAAACTTAGTTGTACTGGACTACAAGACCTTGGTACTTCTTTTGGTGAAGAAGATGAATGCTTCATTCATGTTAGGTGGTAGAGGTGTCAGTGTCGAGTTCTGTTTCATCTGCAATGCTATCAGGGTAAAGTACTCAAATGATATAGAAATTAGTATGGGGCAACTGCAACTTGTGCTGTTAAAGTTGAGGTACATAAAAGTGCTGCATCAGTTCATCAACTTTTTTTACAGTGATTTCAGATGACTTTGATCTTTGCCAATATTTGGGAAAATAATTAGTGAGTGATAGAAACATCAAGTAGCTTTAATTCAGTCAAAAAAAGTTGTAAAGTACTTCTCTAAAGGTCATTCTGCTTTTAAAACATTTAAAAATCACTGAAAGTATGAATACATGTACTGTAAAAAGAACAGGGCTCACACAGAGTCATAAATTCTTGGAAAAGTCTTGATTTTCCAGACCTGGAAAGAGTCTTGAAATTGAAGATAATGTCTAGAAAAATAGTTCAAGTCTGGAGTTTTTTTTATAGCTACAAAAAGTGCTTAATAAGTTCATTTTTTTCCCCTGTGGTCAATTCAATCTCGCTTGTAGCTAAGACATTCAATCACAGAATGAGAAGTTTCACAATTGCACCATGGTTATTGTACATTTGCAGCGCATCATGAAAGAAGCTTGGTTTCTGCATTTTTCAAGATCTCTATTGATCACCTATTTGACCATCTTCAGTCTGGAAAAATAAATTGATGTTTTGGAAAAAAGGTCTGGGAAAAGTCTTGAATTTTGGATCCAAAAATCTGCATGAACTCTGAAGAAGATAATCAGAAGCATGATAAATGTGTAGTTCTATCTGAAATTATAATATTATAAATTATTTGATAGTGTGCCTGTTTTTGTCAGGGTTGCAAATGCCATGATGTTGCTCCAGATGAGACATGCCTGGATTGCCTCAGAAGCAAATGCAACATGGGAAGGTGTGTAGGCATTTGATCATTGTCATATTAAATTACATTCAACATAACAAAATGAATTTTGTAAGCCATGGGGAAATGACTTGTACTAAAGCATGAACTGAAATTAAGTGTGTAGTTTGGGGTTTTTTTTTTTAAATTGTTGCTGGTAAACTAAAATCCTCATTCAGGATCTTTTGCCAAACTTGGAAGGTTGCTAAAAATTGTTTTCATACTGTCAGGAAAGGAGTACTCATAGTTTGGTAATTGAAAAAGAAAAAGAAAAACATTTTTAGAGAAAAACATGAAATAATTCAGAGAGTCATTTCATGGCGATCGCATCTCAGTAAAGAAGAAGTCAGATCAACAGTCTGCTATTACAAAGCAGAATATCCATGTCAGTTCAATGTCTGGTAAGACATTTCCTAAAATAATGTTTTCAAGAGATGTTTTCCATAGGTCTTAGGTAAAATCTTTTTTTTTTTCTTTTTTAATTTACTCTCATGCTGTTGTGTTTCAGGTCCAACAGATCAGGAAATCCTTCAACACCTTGAAGAAATTGTAGAACTTGCCCTACCACTGGATAAATTCAAGAAGCCGTATGAAGATGTGAACACGGCAAAAAATTTGATCCTTAACAGAGTTACATTTTACCAGGCTCGTGTTGATGTTAGTAAGAAGCAACTATTATTTTTATACTTGCAACTTGATTTAACATCATGTAGTCAAGATCATTGGTAATGTGTATTCATTGAGTTCATACAGCGTCCAGACGATCCGTCGGAGTGCGCTTTAGGAATCAAATACCTCTGTGAGTATTTCTTTAATTGCTACAGTCTCCTATGTAATTTGCCCATCTTATGACTAATTCCATCACACAGCAGCTTGAAATTAATGGAGCTCCATTAACTGAAAGCTACTGCATGTAGGAATATAGGTGAGCTCAGGATTGAAGTGTGAACCATTGTTTAATTTTAGCATGTCTGATTCTGTTAGTTAACACACCTTAAAGTGTAGAGTAACACAGAATTTTCTATAGTTAGAGATCCATAGGTGCAGTGTAACCCAGTGTTTAATTTAGTTCAAGGTAACTAACATAGGCTGCACTTTAGGTGGTACACCCATGGGTGCAGTGTAACCCAGTGTTTAATTTAGTTAAAGGTAACTAACATAGGCTGCACGTTAGGTGGCACACCCATAGGTGCAGTGTAACCCAGTGTTTTCTTTAGTAAACAGTAACTAACATAGGCTGCACTTTAGGTGGCACACCCATGGGTGCAGTGTAACCTAGTGTTTTATTTAGTTAAAGGTAATTAACATAGGCTGCACTTTAGGTGGCACACCCATGGGTGCAGTGTAACCCAGTGTTTTCTTTAGTAAACGGTAACTAACATAGGCTGCACTTTAGGTGGCACACCCATGGGTGCAGTATAACCTAGTGTTTTATTTAGTTAAAGGTAATTAACATAGGCTGCACTTTAGGTGGCACACCCATGGGTGTAGTGTAGCCCAGTGTTGTATTTAGTAAAGGTAACTAACATAGGCTGCATTTTAGGTGGCACACCCATGGGTGCAGTGTAACCCAGTGTTTTATTTAGTTCAAGGTCACTACTGTAGGCTGCACTTTAGGTGGCACACCCATAGGTGCAGTGTAACCCAGTGTTTTCTTTAGTAAACAGTAACTAACATAGGCTGCACTTTAGGTGGCACACCCATGGGTGCAGTGTAACCTAGTGTTTTATTTAGTTAAAGGTAATTAACATAGGCTGCACTTTAGGTGGCACACCCATAGGTGCAGTGTAAACCAGTGTCTTATTTAGTTAAAGGTAACTAACATAGGCTGCATTTTAGGTGGCACACCCATGGGTGCAGTGTAACCCAGTGTTTTATTTAGTTCAAGGTCACTACTGTAGGCTGCACTTTAGGTGGCACACCCATAGGTGCAGTGTAACCCAGTGTTTTCTTTAGTAAACAGTAACTAACATAGGCTGCACTTTAGGTGGCACACCCATGGGTGCAGTGTAACCTAGTGTTTTATTTAGTTAAAGGTAATTAACATAGGCTGCACTTTAGGTGGCACACCCATGGGTGCAGTGTAAACCAGTGTCTTATTTAGTTAAAGGTAACTAACATAGGCTGCACTTTAGGTGGCACAACCATGGGTGCAGTGTAACCCATTGTTTTCTTTAGTTAAAGGAAACTTACTTTGGCTGCATTTAGGTGGTACACCCATAGGTGCAGTGTAACCCAGTGTTTTCTTTAGTTCAAGGTAACTAACATAGGCTGCATTTTAGGTGGCACACCCATGGGTGCAGTGTAACCCAGTGTTTTATTTAGTTAAAGGTAACTACTGTAGGCTGCACTTTAGGTGGCACACCCATAGGTGCAGTGTAACCCAGTGTTTTCTTTAGTAAACGGTAACTAACATAGGCTGCACTTTAGGTGGCACATCCATGGGTGCAGTGTAACCTAGTGTTTTATTTAGTTAAAGGTAATTAACATAGGCTGCACTTTAGGTGGCACACCCATAGGTGCAGTGTAACCCAGTGTTTTCTTTAGTAAACGGTAACTAACATAGGCTGCACTTTAGGTGGCGCACCCATGGGTGCAGTATAACCTAATGTTTTATTTAGTTAAAGGTAATTAACATAGGCTGCACGTTAGGTGGCATACCCATGGGTGCAGTGTAGCCCAGTGTTGTATTTAGTAAAGGTAACTTCCTTTGGCTGCACTTTAGGTGGCACACCCATGGGTGCTGTGTAACCCAGTGTCTTATTTAGTTAAAGGTAATTAACATAGGCTGCACTTTAGGTGGCACATCCATGGGTGCAGTGTAACCTAGTGTTGCTAATGAGTGACTGTAACCCAGTTCAGTTTTTTCTAGAAAGTGCTGTCCTTTAAGTAGCATAAAGACATGCAGACATTCTCTTTAAGACAATGAAATTGGTGTGAGGGAACATTTCTTCAAGTAGTATGGTAGCACAATGTTATGTAATTAATGCATTTTTCCAAATGTTTAGTACTTTTCAGGAGCTTTAAGCAAGGGCACTTTTGTAAGAGATTTTGGTACACATACTGAGATAATTGATTTGGAAGGCTCAGGTTTGTAGAACAACAGTAGTAATAACACTTTGTTTTTTCTTTGGTTACAAGTTCTGATTTTTTCTCACTGGCTAAAGAAGGTTTACCATACTATAATATGACTTTATTGAGTGTTTTATGCTGAAATATAAAAATTTTGGAAAATGAGTTTGGAAAATATTAAAATAATTAAACTTATTGCTAATGATGAGCTTAGGAGCTGGTACCTTAAAGGTTAGTGTGAACCCACTGACCAGCTTTGCTCCAGTTTAACTTTGCCTAAATGATATTTAGCCACATCAAAAGGAGCTTTTTGTTTTTAATTCCTCAAAAATATTTACCCAAGGAAAACAAAATGTTTACTTGCAACAGTTATTTGAATGATGTGATAACATATAGGGCCTCTCATTACAGTCTTTCTCAGGTCTTATTTCAGGTTTTGGCTATTTTGCAGATATTAAAGCTGACATGGAGCCTCGCCTTGTTCAGTGGCAAGGCAAGTTGGATGAGCTACATGTCTTTTTCAAGAAGTTGTGCAAGTTACGAAAAAAGGCACTATTCACTATTGTTTTTCTTGCGTTAGATCTGCTTTTTTCGATTCGATTGCACCTTGACTATTTTTGTACCGCTACTCCTCTTGCGTTATATTTATTTAAATGAGCAATTTTTAAAAGACAGAAAATGTCCTTCTTTCAATAACGTGGCGGAATAAAACAATTACACAAAGATGTTACTATGATACTTTTTGGTACGAAATATTTTATTTTTGACCAGCACTGTTATGCCTAATTTTGTCCATAAACGGACAAAATTGCTCCGATTTTGAGACGACATTACAGCTTTTTGGCAGCGATCGCCAAGAAACTGAATGTGCCACGGAATTACACCCAATTAAGAAAGATATTTTCTCCCTTCCAGCAGTCATTAGAAAGCCGTTTTGTCCCCTCAAAATCGGATGTAGTTCACACGTTAAGGGTAATAAACTGATAAAAAATGATTTACAATTATCCTGTTGTCAATAGGTTCTTATTCACGTAAGCTGGGTCATAAACTATTTCTTGCGGCAGAATCATGGGGAAGAAGTTGTCCTTCATTTTAAAATCGCTGAAATTGTAGTAACTAAACCTTGAATGAAACTATTGTAGGAAGATTCATTACTTGACGAGGGAATTCCGCATTTAATTGCACGCGAAAAGCGATACGCGAAGCGATGAGTGCGATATCGGTTTTTAAGTGCAATTTAACGCGGAATTCACGAGCCAAGTAATGGATTTTCCTTGAATCACATATTTGAATAAAAACAAGATAAAAAGAAAACAGCATTACTTATATTTGTTATGTATACGTGGATGCGAAACAATATCACTTAGCCCCGCTAAACAACTCGCCTCGTCAACCAATCAGAAGGCGAGATTTTATGCAATGATGCGATTCTATCTGATATTAGGTCTGCTGACTTGGAAAATACTACACCTAAAATTTAACATCAGCAATCTTACGAGAGAAAGCATAAAGGCTAGGTCTCTCTGACGGCTTATCTCTGGTTGACATTTTAACCAATTCTCGGACCCTTTCATAAAAACCCAACAAAGACGATATCGCCTTAAGCATTCTTCCCAATGAAAAAATGTCACTGGCAACGCCATAGAGTCGTTCACTAACAACCTCAGGGGCTAAATAGCTTTTCCCTTTGCATTTCATAACGGTGCCGTTTCTGCGGTACAACGTAACAGATGAAACCTTAAGGCTCTTTCCAAAGTCAATAAGAACTGGGCTGAATTCCCCAGAGGCTGAGGGCCGTTCTAGTACGGGCGACCCTAAAAGCCGGAACGGTGGAATGTGCAATGATGCTTGAATATTTGTTTTTCGGAATGGCGGAAAATTCCTTCTTGAAATCTGAACGTTGTCATATTTTGAGAAGCTAAAACGTTCCTGTGATGTTCTCACATTTACGGAACGGCGGAAAGTGGAGTTTGGTTTCATGGCAAATTTTGCATAACAAAAGGTAGCTAAACAGGTTTACAACGCGAAAACGCAGCTATCATTCATGCATAATGGTTCATTATTATTTATACCACTCAGTAAAAGAAAAAAAATTAGTAACACTTAATTTTAGTCACGCGCGTTATCGTCGTGAGGATAAATGAGCCAAGCGCTTGGTGTCTTTGTACGAAATTTGTGCAACATGCCCTGGCATCCGTTCCGTGTTTTAGGATTTGGGGTCATTTTCCGCCGTTCCGTGCTTTAGGATTTGGGGTCATTTTCCGCCGTTGCGTGCTTTAGGATTTGGGGTCATTTTCCGCCGTTCCGTGCTTTAGGATTTGGGGTCATTTTCCGCCGTTCCGTGCTTTAGGATTTGGGGTCATTTTCCGCCGTTCCGTGCTTTAGGATTTGGGGTCATTTTCCGCCATTCCGCCATTCCGCCATTCCGCCGTTCCGGCTTTTAGGGTCGCCCTTCTAGTACAACATTGTTTCCTTTGATGTCGTTATGAAGGTATCCTTTAGAGTGCACGTGGAACACTGCATATCTTTTTAAATATAGAAATACAGTTTGCTTTAGTAACTGCGTTGTTATCGGCCGCTTGATGGAGAGTTACACTTTCATGCTGAACACCATGAAATTGAGTCACAAGGCATAATGGTGAGGCCTTTGTAACAACACCAAAAATCATGGGTAGATGTGGATGGTCCCCCAAAGCAGAAACGACCTTTGCTTCGTGGAGCAAATCTCTCCTTGCTCGTTCTTCATCCTCTGACGTTTCGTTGTGAGTCATTTGCTTGACAATAACGTCGAAGCCTCGATAGCGCCCGAGAAAACACTGTCCAAAGCTTCCACTCCCAACTGGATTTTTAGACAAGTATTCAATGTTTTCTGGCCTGAGTTCTTTGGGTTCAAATCTGGATCCATTGCTCGCTGTGGTTTTTTTTTCAATTAAAAAGGTTTGATGACGTTTCCCACGAGGTTTCTGCGAGACAACTGCGTCGGCACCAACAGCCATTTGAATCATCTTAGCAGCTCTTGAACAACCACCCAAGGCCTCTTTCATCTCTTCACTGCCTGGTTTAAGCGCGAGGATATGGGGTTTCTTGACATTTTGTGGCTCAAAATGTTGGTCCGAAGGAGGCAGTTTCGTTTCCTTAGCCTCAGAAGTACAAGGCACCAACTCATTCGCTTCGCGGTTGAGTGATTGTAGTTCAACATTTTTATTCGTTGAATTCGGCATATGCTTCCCTTGTTTCCTCTTTCTCCATTCTTTTCTCTGTCTGTTTCTTTCTTCTGGAGTGTTTTTTCGTGATTTAATAGCTCGCTCTTTTCGTTCTTCTTCATCTTCAAATTCCTTCACAAATTCCGCCATCATTATGTAGCTAATTGATCTATTTCCGAAACACAAATGAGCTCGTGATCGGTGTAAAAGTATAAAACAAAGGCTTGTTGATGTGCAGGAAATTCAATGCTCGTTTTAATGAACTTGATGATATGTGAAAGCCCGAGTTGCTCTTCAATCGTTTCTGGTTTGCTTTCATTACGCGACATTCTTCTGTCAGAAGAGTGTCGGGAAAAACACCTCGCAAGGATCGTACGTGACAACACCCTCCACGCCTCGACTAACGCTAAAAAAGCTCCATACAATTCCTTATAATTTTATTATAAGGAATTGTATGGAGCTCTCCGGGATACTTACAGTGCAAGCCCTGTGTGTCTTCTCATGATCTTTAAGGTGGCAGTCGCCTTCGAGGAATTTGCATTTAATTATGGTAAATACCATCTGAATGGAACGAATCCTTCTACAACGATCAAAAGCCGAACAATGGGTGAGTTAAAACTATTTTATTAGTAACTGACCCACTGACCAATTGTCTAACTGAATGGTCTGTCTGCCGCCTGGCCTTGGAAATTAAATGATACAAGTGAATTCTTGAAAGGCTCACGGAAGCAGTCGAAGGCGCATAAAATTCGTCTGGCTTGATGCCAGTAGGTGCACGAAGATGTGTGAAGCCCAGTTGACGAGAAGTGATATTCGTCTGGTTAATAAGTTGTTTCAATTTCCTCTTTTGAGCATATGAATACGATCTCAGTACAATAATATATTTCAAATAAATCAGAATGGCGTTTGAGAAATCATAGTGTAGTGCTGTGTATATACCTTCAAGAAAGGGATCCGCATACGCTGCTGTCATCTCCTTCAATTCCAATCATCAGCTAACATCTTCTCTTTCTTCTGACAGTTTTGGGCATTCAAATTGGCTACCGTCGGAATGCAACTGACTTCTTCCTCAAGGAGGAAGAATTGCAAGTCAGCATTAATATATCTTCGGATGATATTGCTGAAAAAGGTTTGCGTTAACCACGCTTTCAACTCTAAATCATAGAATGACATTTTTTCACTTTAATAGTTGCTCTATTATTTAGAAATCAGAAAGTTTTACGTATCAGTGTACTATTTTTCAATCGTTAAACATTTCAAAACAGCTGAGAATGTACGTGCACCCCGAATGGTCAAAAATCTTTTCGTTTATTGCACAGGTAAACTCATGGAAAATTGAGATTTATATTATAGAAGCAAAGTACCGCACATTCTATCGTTAAACCGACGAGAAAAGTAAGAAATAACCAAATCATTTTAACTAATCTATGCCAGTGGTAAAGGAACAGAACGGTAAAGGAGCAATGATGTAGTGTTAGCCAGTTGGGTGATCAAATGCCGAAGTAAGTGGGTCAAACAAATAATTGTGCTCGAAAATTGTTTGGTCTTTGAAAAAATTTTGGTCAATATTGTCTTATAACTTAAACACTTCTTTGGTGAAAGAAAGCGGATGGGAACTTGATACATCAACTTTTCGAATATGTTTATACTGAGACTAACTCCATCGTTTGGCGTTAAAAGGACTTTTTGTCCACATTCTGATTAACAATATTGTTTTCTTTATAGGGTCAGTGATTGTAGGGTGTGTGTACAAAGATCTTCATGAATTACTGCTGAGAAATCAATCAACTGGGAAGAACCTAACACTTCTAGGTGACTTGAGTGAAACGATGAAATAGTTGCGACTTGGTTCGTGCTTAGCGTGCATGTATTGAATTATACAGCATGCCATATCAAATTTAACCAACCAAATAAGGAGAAGCCTATCAAGTGGTATGATAAGAACCTTAACAATGAAAAAAGAAGGCGATGAGCAATGTCCATTTTTAAAGCTCATTTGGAGAAATTTCTTGAAGGTTAAGTTTTCTTTATCACACAGTAAACTCTAAAAATCATAAGAGAAGTTAGTTTTCATTATCACCGTTTTATATCAAAGATAAAAATGACATAAAGTATGCTTCATGCAGTTATATGTAAATGCACTGTAATGGTTTGAAAACTTGATAGCATAGAACAATATTTCCTCTACAGGTATGTTAACACCAGAATAATGACTGCAGCGATGAATCCTAAACCTGAAAAATTACGACGAGATGTAATCTTGAATTTCAAAAACCTACAGGTAACAGCAATGCAT